GAACCAACAGGTGGGGGGGTGGGGGGGTGGCAGCAAGCAAGCTTGGCCTGAGGACACCTGGCTGGGTTTTTGGTCCTCCTCTTTCTTATTGGCATCAAGGATGTGTTTGCGAGACCCTTCATTTTTAATCCAGTGTCGAGTTTCTGGGTTACATTTTCTAAAAGAGAAAAAAACTGTCTACCTGTAAACCTGCAAGAGGTGTGTGTGTGTGTGCAGGGGCGGTTTTATGATCCTTTCTCCCCCCCCCTTGGTTTGTGAGAAAGCTTGTGTTTGTGCCCACAGCGGCTTTGGATTGGGGGGGTGCGCACCAGGGTTCAAGCCCCAGCGGGGAGGCTTCTCGGTTGTGTGTGTGTGTGTGTGAAGGGGGAGTGCTTGCTCCCGAGTAATGCCCCACATCGCCTGGGGGCGGAGGCGGCAGGCAAAGCGCTCCTCCCTTCCCATTCGACGGTTTCCCTGCCATTCCACTCCCGCTCAGTCTTGCAAGAGCCGCCCCCTCCCAGATGCACGTTTACATGCCCCGTGCCCGCCTTGGCCCATTATGTGAGCCAGATTGATTCCCCCCCCCCATTCACCCACCCGAGTTTTCCCTCCCCCGCCCCGTGATGCTCACACAGCTCATCCTGGGGTAGGGCGGAGGAGGAGGAAGGAAGGAAGGGGGCTTTGGCGGGGGGGGGGTGGCTTTCTGGAAGGGGTCCCCCACCTTCTCACCCCCTCCACCCCACTCTGGGGCTCCCAGGCAAAATTCTGGGGAAAGGAGGGAGGGGGCGGGTTTCGAGGGGGGAGGGGAGGGGAGAAAGGGGCAGGCCAAGAGCCCTTGCAAGGGGGGACCCTATCCCGCGCCTTACCTGGCTGGAGATGAGGTCCTCGCAGACGGAAAGAGCCATCTGGATGGCGTTGGGCTTGTGGGTGACGGAGGTGGCGTTCAGCTGGATCTTCCAGGTCCCGTGCCGCTTGTTGGCCTGGCTGATGGCGTCGCGGAAAACCTGCTCGTGCTTCTTGGTGCTCAGCACGGCGCCGATGTTGATGATCTTGGGCTCGCAGCCCGCGCGGGCTACCGAGAACCAAACCAGCACGGCCAGCAGCAGCAGCCGCATGGCGCCCGGCGGCCCGGCCGAGCCGCTCTCCGCGGTGCTGAATTCTCTCTCTCCCCCCCCCACCCGCCCCCGGCCCCCCTCGGCGGCGCTCGCTCGGTCGGTCGGTCGGTCCGGCGGGCGGGCGCGCGGGAGAGGGCGCCCGGCGGCTCCGCCAACCTGCCACTGCGGCAGCCGCGGCGCGTCGACTGGGGCGGGGGCGAGCGAGCGAGGGAGCGAGGGAGGGGCCCCCGGAAAGCCAGCCCCCGCCCGGCCAAACCCTCCAGCCCCACCACCCCCACTTTCCACGCCAGCGGCTTCTAGAAGAAAGACCCCCCCCCGCCCCCTCCCCGCGCCGCCCCGGAATCTGAATAGAAGAAAAGGGAAGTAGGGGGTGGGGGTGGGGGTCACCTTGGGGCTTCTGCCAGGAAAGAGCCCCCCTCTGCCCTCCCTTTCTGCAACTCCCCCCCCCCCCGCCCCAAGGCCCCCCCCCCCCCCGCGCGCCCGCACGGTTTTCAGCTTTCGCGAGGCAACCGACCCAAAAGCAGGTGACCTGTTTTTTCAGGCGAGAAGGAGATGCTTCCTCTGGTTGGGGGGGTGCAGCCCAACTGAAGGAAGGAGGGATCTAGAGGGAGGAGAAAGGAAGGAGGGATGGATGGATAGAATGGCTGTGGAAGAGGAAGAAGAGGGAGAGGATCTAGTAAAGCCAAAGGACACGGCGAGCAGGCGGACAGCTCACCCGTCCTGGGGGGGCGAGGGGGAGCGGGGTGTGTGAGAGAATTATTTCCCGACATACCGGACAGAACAGCCCAGCAATGTATGGAGATGTGCACCTGTGCAGATGGGAACCAAATGGAAGACGTAGGTCTCCTTCCTTTCCCGTGAGAGGGGACAGTGAACCCCCCTGGGGCTCTATGCCCCCCACTGCAAAGGGGACAGGAGGCTTCCCTGCAGTGATCATGCTGGGCAGGAGTGTCCTGGTGGTCGGTACAGGCCGGGCAGTGGTCCAGGTGTTGCTCTACCTGGCTACTCTCCTCTAGACTCTACAGTGGGGTTTTCTTGGTTCTGATCCCTTCATGAGGCCGCCGCATAATTCCCCAAACAGCAGACCAGCAGATTCCTGGGTTGGCTGCTTAGGAATCCGTCCCGTGGCTGTCAAGACGAGCAGATACAGCCTCTCCCTCCTTAACAGATAACAGATCATCAGAGTTGGAAGGGGCCTTGTAGGTCATCCAGCCCAACCTCCCTGCCCAAGTGGGAGACCCTACACCATTTCTGACAATTGGCAGTCCAATCTCTTCTTGAAAGTCTCAAGTGATTGGCGCTCCCACAACTTCCGAGGGCAACTTCTGTTCTGTGAGTTGGTTGTTCTCCCTGTCAGAAAGTTTCTCCTAATTTCCAGGTTGAATCTCTCCTTGTTCAGCTTCCATCCATTATTCCTTGTCTGGCCTTCGGGTGCTTTGGAAAATAGCTTGACCCCTTCCTCCTCTCTGTGGCAGCCCCTCAAATATTGGAAGGCTGCTCTCCTGTCTCCCCTGATCCTTCTCTTCACTAGACTAGCCAGGCCCAGTTCCTGCAACTGTTCTTTGTATGTTTTATCCTCCAGTCCCCTCATCATCCTGGTTGCTCTTCTCTGTACTTTTTCTAGAGTCTCCAACATCTTTTTTTATAATGTGGTGACCAAAACTGGATGCAGTACTCTAGGTGTGGCCTTACTAAGGCTTTATAGAGTGGTATTAATACCTCACTTGATCTGGATTGTATCACTCTCTTTATGCATCTTAGGATTGCATGAGCTTTTTTGGTTGCCGCTGCACACGACTGGCTCCTATTTAGCTGGTTGTCCACGAAGACTCCAAGATCCTTCTCACAGTTACTGCCATTGAGCCTGGTTTCACCGAGTCTATATGTGTACTTAATGGAAACCTGGACGCCCCTTTGCTTCTGATGGCAACTAATGCTGGTTCCTTATTTATTCTCATTTGAAAGGCCTTCAACAAACGCAGGAGGGGGAGCCTTCCTCCTCTTAGCAGCTTTTATCGCCACCAGCAAATTAAAGGTTTTGTAAAGATGCAGAGAGACGGGCAGGCATTCAGTATAGACAATGGCAAATACTGCCGAAGTGACGGGGTTGGATTGAATTCCTATATATATCTTCACTTTGACACCCACCGATCTCGATGAAGATTAAGCCCACCCCACCTTGCTCAGAACAAAAGAACTGCGTTTCTCACCCCCCACCCACCCCTTTCCAGCAGCCCCAGAATCCAGCCACGCAAACCCGGTCCCGGTGACGTCTTTAAAAAGTGCACGTTGCTATAGAAACACTTCACTATGTTGGTGTCCCACATCTCCCAAATGTGCTTTGAGAACAGGAATGAAAATAACTGTGTGTGTGTGTGTGGCACAAGCCTCAGAAAGTGAGGCTATGAGAAATTAGGGGGGGGGGGCTTTGCAATTATCTCAGGACCTTCTACAGAAGCCAGAGAGCATGGTGTGCTTTGGCAAGCATTGCTGCCAGTGCAAGACACCCCCCCCCCCTTAAAGTTTGTGGAAACCCCCCACCCTGCTGTCCATTTGGCCTTTCTGAGTTCTCAGCAGCAGGGTCGATCTGACGGTGGGTCCCCGTGAAGCCCTGCCTTATCATTTGGGGTCCCAAACCCCCCCCCCAGATTTAGAAAGGCGGTTGCAGTAGGGTTAACATTGCAGCTGCCCCTCCGCCCAGGTGCTGAAGTGCCTCCCTACAAGCGGGCAGAGCTGGCTCCCTTAGTGTGGGGAGACCCCCTCTGTGCCCCTAGGAGGGTCTCTCTCCTCCCAAGCAGGAGATCCTGGGGGCTTCCCCAGCAGGCAATTCCCCCTCCATCTCCCCATTGTCCCCCTCGGGGAAGCGGGAGAAACAGGGAATAAGCCGTTTGCCGATTAATCGTGAATTACTTGGGACCGTCCTGGCTGGAGAGGGGCAGCTGCCGAAAGTGTCTCTGCAGACATTAAGGGGACAGAAGGCAGGGTCGCCTTTTCTAACCCCGCCAGCCCTTCCCCTTGTCCAGAGTCTCTTCCAGCTCCGCTTGTCGCCCGATGGCCACCTCGGGTGCTCCTGGCCTCGTTGGGCTGGACCGGGCGACGGGGCCCGTGCCGCGCTCTGCCGGAGCTGCCCAGTGGCAGAGAGTTCCGCCGGCGGGCGTTGAGCCGCCCACTCCTTTACGGGATGCAGGTACACGAGGAGGCCGAGCCGGGGAGGAGGCGCCCGAGTGGTCATTCCTTTGCGGCTGGGCCGGCCCCGGCAGAAGCGGCTGAGACGCCCCCCCCCCCCGGATCCCCCGTCCCGGCTGGAGCTATAAGAGGCGCGAAGACGCGCTGCAGGCGGGCTTTTCAGGATGAGGCTGGTCGCGCTCCTAGCGGCTGTTGTAGCTGCTGCCTCCTTCTTCCTCCTGCCACCGCCGATCCTCTGGCTTCTGCTGCTGCTGCCTCTCTTGGTGCTGGTGGCCGCGGCCGGCGGCTGCGTGGCGTGGCTGGAGCTGCGGCCCAAGTGGCTGATTCGCCCGCTGGACCAGGTGGGCTACCTGACTGAGCCCGGCTGGACCCGCGCGCAGAGCGCCGCACGGATGCGCCAGAACCGGCGGACCGGCCAGGTCCTGCCCTCCTACCCCAATGGCTGGTTCCGGCTCTTGGGCTCAGCCGAGCTGGCCCGAGGGGAGCTGCGCAACTTGGCTGCACTGGGTGAGTGGCTCTGCGCTCCCACGGAGCTCCAGGAAGAGCGGAAGAGGGAGGGAGGGAGACGGGCAGCCGAGGTCCGGAATGCGGTGGAACAAGCGCCCCTCGAGTATGTCAAATGGCAGCGGAAACCCTTTCCCGCTCTCAGCTGAAACGCGGGGCCAGTGGCAGGGATATCAGGGCAGGTGCAGAGATTTTTTATAACGGATAATCAGAGTTGGAAGGGACCTTGTAGGTCATCTAGTCCAACCCCCCCGCCCAAGCGGGAGATCAGCTGCCGATGGTCCGGCTCGTGTAGTTCCGAGGATTGGGGAGTTGTATCCCTTAATGGGAAGACTGATCCGCCTCCCCTCCTCTCCCCCCCCCGGCTCTGCTCTGTCTCCCTCCCTGCCTTGGTTCAGCTTGGCTTTTTAAACAAGACGGGCACTCCAGAAACGCGGAGAGTCCCACTTGGTGTGGGAGTGAAGGTGCTGGCCTAGAGGCTAGGAGCTGGCAAGGATTCGGCAGGGAACGGACTGGGCTCTCTCAGCCCAACTTGTCTCACAGAGTTGGGGCTTTTGGGGGGGGGGAGGGGGGAGGATAGAAAGCAAGGAGATCCAGTGTGTTTACCATCTTGGGAAAGAGCCCATAGGCGTATAAAAAGTGTCAAATCCAGCCTAGACTCATTGTGCCACAAACCAAAATAATACCCTGTTTCTCCAACAATACGGCCTCCCCCAATAGGAAGTCCCAGCATGTTTTATAGGCATGAAATGAAATTAAGCCCCTCCCCCCCCCCAAATTAAGGCCTATATTAAAACATGCAAAATGGGGGGGGGGGGTTGCCGTTAGGAAGTACTTTTGTTGCACACCCGGATATGGTGCTGCCTGCGTTGACCCCGATACGAAGTGCCCCACCAACGCCGAGGTCAACATTCAAGACATCGCCGCCCGCCCGCCCGAAGATGCAAAGGGGGGGAAATTAAGCCCCCGAAAAGACGGCCTAGCCATTTTTTTCGGGGCTCAAAAAAAAAGAAAGACCCGGCCTTATTATATGAGAAACACGGTAATAAATTGGGCACAGCGAGAAATTGAGGGCATCCACTCAGCAGGGGTGGAATATGCGCGGTTTGGGGTTTGCTCAATACGTGGGATTATGTCAGAGGACCTTCGGTTTACACAAGGTGGGATGCTTTCCCAAGGCCAAGTTAATAATAATAAACACAGTTTGCATAATTCATTTATGAAAGTTAGATCTTTTATCCAAGATCAGACTCAGTGGGTTATGTACAAGAGCTTACTTGACTCGGGCTGTGTGAACTGAGGCTGTGCCCATGGGTGCTGTCATCAGTGTGGTATGCACCCCCACCTTT